CTTACAGGAGTCCCGACCGCCGCGAACGGGCGGAGCGTGCACTACAATCACGCATCCAGATGCCCAACAAGACCGTCTCGATGTACGTCGAGGATATGACACGGCTTTTCAAGCGAGCGGATCCTGCTATGGCAGAAGAAAAAAAGTTGCGCCACCTCATGCGTGGTGTGAAGAAACAACTTTTTGCTGGTTTGGTGCGTAGTCCCCCCAAAAGTGTTGCTGAGTTCTTACTGAAGCGGCAACAATGGAGCGAGTACTGCACCAATGGTCTGCCCTGTTTGACCGTCAAGTGAATGCAGCCTCAACTCCCAAAATTTTCGCCACCCCTGGGAGCAAGAGCCCCAACTGAATTCGCAAGAACATCCGATCTGTCGTCCGGGAAGAAATGAAAAAGATGTATGGGACAAGGCAAATCGATGTTGGTTCTATCACCAGTGCCATCCGTGACGAGGTCCAGCAGGTGCTGCACGCCCATCGTTTTCCGCCCACGTCGGTTGATCCGGAAACGGCTTCTGTGTCTACTGACAGTCGCCGTCGTACGTACGTGGAAGCCTTGCGATCTGCTACTCCTCTTTCAGGTCAAGGAGTCCCGACCCAGCCAGTGCCGCACGTCCCGATCCAGACAATGATGCCGTCAGTCGCGATTCATTCAGAGCACGCTGATTTGGACATCGATAGTCGCCGTGCACCGAAGCGCAAGTCTGATCTCTGGCATACGCCAGACAGACGACCCCTCTGCTATCAGTGCGGTGAGGCTGGTCACAGTTACTGCGAATGCCCATACCGGCAACTTGGACTGCACGGATTTTCCGTCAATTCCCCTCGTCCCCGAATCGGTCAAAGGCCAAGGGATATCGAAGAGTATCTCGCACAACAGCATGCACCCTTTACACGACGGCAATCGCGGTCACCATCTCCGAGAAGACCCGCAGCCACTGGGCCACGTTTCGGGGTGACGTCACGGGAGCGCTCCCCGAGCTTTCGTCGGGAAAACTGAAGGTAGCGGCCTTCGGGGCCAAGGTCACTGGGACTCAAAGTGCGGAAGACCTCCCATCGACTCTTGCACGCAACGCCGAAGGCATTTTGTCAGAGAATAATCGCAGTACCGAAGAAACGCAGACATCCACATCTGAACCTAGTGACCGCGTGTTACTCAACATACCTGTGCTGATTGACGGTCTTCAGGTCAGTGCATTGATAGACACTGGTGCAGACTATTCGATCATCAGCAGGAGGCTAGCGAAAGATCTCAGGAAAGTGATCACGCCGTGGAATGGAACGCGAATTCGTAACCGCTGGAGGACACATTGTAACACCGCTGGGTCGCTGTACCGCAAGAGTGAAAATTCGTGCGTCAACGTTTGTGCTCAGCTGCCTCGTTCTTCGCGACTGTTCGCGTCAGCCGATTATCGGCATGGACTTCCTTCGGGAATACGGTACCATCATAAATCTCGGTGAGCGTATTGTGACCTTCTCGACTCAAGGCACAACAGATCGAGACGCTGGTAACTGCCGTAGACCGACGCTGCGTGTTGCTGACGACAGTGTGACGCTGCCACCTCAAGCAACTGTTCCCATCGAAGTCACTTGTGAAGACTTCCAAGACGGCAACGTGGTGGCTGAAAGCAACCTATCACTTCTGTTACTCCAAGGTGTATACGCCGCCCGAAGTGTTGTGCGCGTCCGTGACGGACAGTCAACGATACTAGTTACGAACTTCAATTATGAGCACCGGCATCTTTTCCGCGGAACCACCCTAGCTTATGGAGACCCTGTTGCTGACGACACAGAGTGCTTCGCGTCCGAGGAAACGCATGACGATGAGGAATTTCTAGACCGCATCGACATTGATTCGACGCTGTCAGACGAGAGAAAGGCTGCACTTCATGACCTTTTAGGGAGTTTTGATCTTGCTTCGCCTCTTCTTCTAAAGTCCGTCAAAAACACCTCACAAAACATCGAGATATTACCGACGATGACGTCCGCCCCATCCGGCAGCAGCCTTATCGCGTTTCTGCCAAAGAACGCGAGGCTATTCAGACACAAGTAAAAGAGATGCTCGATGACGGGATTATTCAACCATCCAGCAGCGCTTGGTCCTCGCCAGTCGTTCTAGTAAAGAAAAAAGACGGAACGCTGCGATTCTGTATTGACTACAGGAAGCTTCATAGCGTCACAAAAAAGGACGTTTATCCGCTTCCACGGGTTGCAACTCCCTCGACAGGTTAAGACGCGCAAAGTATTTATCGTCCATCGATCTAAAGAGTGGCTATTGGGAAATTGAAGTGGATGAACGAGACCGAGAAAAAAAACGCGTTTGTGACTCCAAATGGACTTTACGAATTCCGAGTTCTTCCCTTCGGCCTCTGTTCTGCACCAGCCACTTTTCAGATGATGATGGACACAGTTCTCCCTGGCTTGAAGTGGCAAAGCTGCCTTGTCTACCTCGATGATGTGGCCATCTTTTCCGAGAGCTTCGAAGAACATCTGAAGCGTCTGAGAAAGGTTCTGGAAGCCATTCGCACAGGTGAACTCACGCTGAAACCTCAAAAATGCCATTTGGGCTATGAAGAGCTGAAATTTCTGGGACATGTCATTAGTGCGGATGGAGTGCGACCAGATCCGGACACTACTGCTGCTGTCGCCGCCTTCCCTGTTCCATCAGATAAAAGAGCAGTACGCCGTTTCCTCGGCTTGTGCACGTATTATCGCCAATTCATCGCCAACTTCTCGAAGATAGCTGAACCTCTTACGCGACTCACCCGAGATGACGTGCCCTTTACTTGGGGCGCAGAACAAGATACAGCGTTCACAGAGTTACGACAGAGAATGCAAACAGCCCCTGTTCTTGCTCATTTTGATGAGGACGCTGCTACAGAAATTTATACAGATGCCAGCAACGTCGGACTTGGCGCTGTCCTTGTACAACGACACGGCGGCGTTGAGCATGTGATAGCTTATGCCAGTCGTACTCTTTCTCGAGCCGAGACCAACTATTCTACGTCAGAAAAAGAATGCCTCGCAGTCATGTGGGCGACGACCAAATTTCGGCCTTACCTTTACGGTCGTCCCGTCAAAGTGGTGACTGACCATTACTCGCTCTGCTGGCTGGCAAATCTCAGAGATCCATTCGGCCGTCTCGCACGGTGGAGTTTGCGTTTGCAGGAGTTCGATATTACGATTGTGTACAGGTCAGGGCGCAAACACGAAGACGCCGACGCGCTTTCTCGAGCACCTGTGGGGAACGCTGTCAGGGGCTCCGAAGATAAAGATGCCTTTCTCAAAGCAGTTCGCGACTCCGAATTTATGTCAAAGCAGCGGGCAGACGACGAATTATGCCCAGTCATTGATTCCCTGGAAGGCCGCAACTCTCAGGTCCCTCAACACATTGCTCGCGAACTGTCCTCTTTTTGTCTAAGAAGAGGCATTCTTTACAAGAAAAACGCCCGTGGTAGCGACAAAGCCTTCCTACTCGTTGTTCCTACCGACATGCGTGATGAGATCCTCCTTGCGTGCCACGACGAGCCCACGTCAGGACATTTGGGCTATTCGCAAACTCTCGCCAGAGTACGCCAACAGTATTACTGGCCGCGACTATCAACTAGTGTACAACGATATGTGAAAGGCTGCCGTGAGTGCCAGAGCCGCAAGACTCCGCCTGTGAGACCCGCGGGCCTGCTCCAGCCGATCGCACCACCACGGACACCGTTTGACCTCGTGGGAATGGACCTTCTCAGGCCCTTCCCTTTGTCCTCCTCTGGGAACAAATGGATTATAGTTGCGACAGATTATCTTACTCGTTATGCTGAAACAAAAGCGTTACCCCGTGGCACGGCCTCTGAAGTCGCGCAGTTCTTCGTGCACCAAATCGTCCTACGGCATGGTGCCCCGCCATGTGTGATTACGGACAGAGGGACGTCGTTTACAGCACGAATGATGGAGGACATTCTTAAACTGAGCTGCACAAGTCATCGAAAAACAATGGCTTATCATTCGCAATCCAATGGACTGACAGAGAGGCTTAACAAGACCATAGCGGACATGCTGTCAATGTATGTGGACGTACAACACAAAACCTGGGACGAGATCCTTCCATACATCACGTTTGCTTACAATACAGCAACGCAAGAAACAACGCGATTTCCGCCTTGTTTACGGACACAACGTGCGAACCATGCTCGATGCTATGCTTCCGTGCGACCAAAGCAATGAACTTGCTCAAGACGCTGAGCAATACACTCAATACGAAGCTCGTCAGCTAGCTCGCATAAACACTAGTCACCAACAAGATGCAGACGCACGACGTTACAACCTCCGCCATCGAAATGTCACCTACCACCCTGGGGACCGAGTGTGGGTGTGGATCCCTGTCCGGCGACCAAGCTTATCCGAAAAACTCCTAAGCCGTTATTTTGGACTGTACAAGGTTCTTAGACGAGTCACAGATGTTACCTACGAGGTATTTCCGGATGGCGCAGCGTCTTCTCGTCGACAGCTTCGGCCCGAAACCGTGCATGTCATTCAGCTGAAGCCCTACTTCACACAGTAGCCCTTGTGGTTTCACGTGCTATGACATGCTGTGACTTTGCGTTGCTGCTGCTGTTAGTGTTCTCTTGTGTTTTTATGCCTTTTCTTTTTGCGCTTGGCGCAAGCATTGATGAAACTTCCTCATTTGCACTACGAGTACTGGCACTCTCCCTCTTTTGGTTCTCTATATCTGCGTGTGTATACCTTCATTTTTTTTTTATTTACGAGCATCGAGTCGATGCTTTCAAAGGGGGGACTATTGCCACATGGTTTGCTTGGGTGAGATCGAAGAGTGAAAGAGGACAAAGATAATCTGTCTGAGCCGCTGCTTGGCTAGTCGACTCAACGAGCCCATTGTATCAAGTTTGTCGTGAGTAATGTGACAATATACTCTTTTCTTTGAAGACAGCATAGTACTAGAGCTAGAAACAGCCTCTCCAAAAACATTGCACAGACCATATATGCTGACTCACTTGTTCTTCTTCATCCGTGCCTCAGGTGAAGGCATGTACTCAAGGCAGTTGGAGCAGTAGTTCGAGTCCACCTAGGCATTAAGAAAACACATCGAACATTTAAGGTTGAGCCACGAATAAAGCACCTCACATGCTTGTTAATGTTGTCTGATGGACAAATATAAAAGCGACACGCGTAGGCACAGCAATTGCCACTTGCTTTGCTCGGCACAAGATTGCCAAATAAAGATAACAATCATTTTAAGGCCTGTCGAAGTATTCACCGTCAACACGAGTTTGTGAGGTGTGTTCGAAATGTAGAGGCTCGTGTACTATGCGATGACAGTGCGCGTTAATAAACACCAGGCGGTCAATATTCGCGGAGCCCTTCATTACGGCGTCCCTCATATTCATATCGTCGTTTCCGAACGTAAAACCACAGATATTATTATTGTGAGGTACGTGTACAGTGATCGCGGATAACAAGCCGAGTGCTCCAATAAGTTTATTAGTACTAAGTGTCGCGATGCGTGTTCAGGACATGACACCTCCTGTCTGGCTCGATTTCTACCATGTTGTTTGCACCATCGATCATTCTTCTTGTCAAAGCTGTTGAGTTTCACTGTAAGCTTGCTCAAATCAGTCCACCAAATTTCAAAATGCTAAACCCATCCAATCCGCCACTCCGACTTCGTGACATATCCATCAAGAAACTGTCACTGCCATAAGCGAAACACCCCGAGCTATGCCACAGCTTACCTCGTGAGAAACGCAGTCGCCGCATCTCAGCTTCGAACAGTGCCGACAAAAGTATATGCGAGTGATCGGGCGCTTTGAGCCGCAGCTGCAGACGTAGAACACTCGCTCATTCGTAAAAATGTCAGCAGCCATCCTTCAGGGTGCGGCGCGTGAAGGAGAATCCTGTGGGTAGCACGTAGCAGCTACGGAGCCTTCGGTGGCGACGCCGGGCAGTGCATTAAAGTATCTTAAATTGCACGGAACAACCTATACAACAACCACGCGGACCCAAACAGAAACGCGGACGTCTTGTCTTCGTCCCTTCGTCTCGCTAGAATGTCTCGCCCATGCCGGAAGCACCGGAAGTTCGGAGCATGATACTCCGAACCTCCTCCATGCTTGCTCTGCATCGGTCCCTAGAAATGGTAGTTATGTATCTCTAGTCCCTAGTCTAGCTAGGGCATTTCTAGGGACAATAGTATTTATCGTACGCCTCGTACATGGCGTGACATGGCCGCTGCGTGCATATGTGTTTGTGTTCCGTAATACTTGATTTGCGTTGGCGGTCTGGCCGTGCCGTGTTTTGATTAACGTATTCGATGGATCCAAAATGGTCGAGCCCATCTTTGACTATCAGTTCCGGCTTATACTAATCGGCGACAGTACAGTCGGCAAGAGCACGCTGCTCAAGGCGTTCACCGACGGCAAGTTTCACGACGTCTGTGATCCGACCGTCGGCGTCGACTTCTTCGCGAGGCTCATCGAAGTCAAGAAGGACGTCAGGGTGAAGCTTCAGCTGTGGGACACCGCCGGACAGGAGCGATTTCGGTAATGTGCTTGGAAACAAAACAAAAAACGCAAACTTCTTTGAGTGCTTTGTGTGCACGATTGATTGCACGGTATGTAAAACACTTTTCGAGGTGTGCTAGTTTTCTTGTGTATTAAGGGCGCCGAGTCACTCAACAGAGACACTCGGCGAGGGACATGTAATATTGATGAGGCATTTAATTAAACATCTGTACGCTTGCAGTCACACCGGTCCACGATTGCTTATGCTCTTCATAAAATTCAACAATAGAAGTACGCTTTGTCATGCCTTCATGTTGTCTTCTCTGTATTTTGGACTACTTATTTTCTTTTCCTGCGTTGCGTGTGATTTTAAAGTGTGCCCGTGTACGCTGTCATGTGACAGAACTACGTGACTTATTATGGATTCAGATGCAGTGCTTTATGTCTACAAGCCTAATTAAATGTCCTATCAGTGCATTACACGTCTGATTCAGTGTTTTATCTTTTCTATCACAGCTTAAGTAGGCAGAAATTAGAATGGCCGCATTGCAATTCTCTTGCGAGTCTAGAATACGTGGCCGAAGGTCTTCGAATAAGCTACCACAGGCTGCGACTGTGCAAGAAAGAGCATCTGAACAATCAAAATAAAGTGATATATTAGCACAGTCACAGATTTGTACAGCGTCGTATAAAAGAAGGATATTCATCTCCGTCATGATCTTGCCTTTATGCAGTCATATTATTACAGTATGGGATAATCATTTGGCAAGGACACATCTGTACATTTTACGTAAGGCCTTTTGTAAAATGTTGGTCATGTTTATCTGTGGAGTCTTGCACTGCTGTAAAAGGACATGGATTGAACGATTCAGTTATTGTCTAAACCAGCAACTTAGTAACCATTATGGCAACCAATAACAAAAATAGGGCAGCAATGCAATGCTTCACTGCAGACTGTTATGGACTTGTAAAAAGCGCTATAAAATGTACCTGTGTTTGGACAGTCTTCACAGCCCCGAGAAATCCAGTAGGACTGTGAATGAAAGTAAATGGTGACCATAACATAACTGACGACTAGACGAAAAAGGATTTATTGAATCCACGAAGAATATCCCACTACCCTGCAGAGTCTGTTACATTGGACAGACAAAAAGCTGTGGGAGCACTAATACAATTGTGGTCCCCTACAAGCCCTGCTACATATGGCAACACTCTGCAGCAGGTGGCCGTGCAGTCCAGTGTTTGAAGAAACACAAGTTGTGCACACATTGACAAACAGGCGAAAAAGGCAACCGTTGCCGCTCAGCAGTTGGCGTCACATCATCTGTTTGACAGGTACCAAGGATACACTCAGGTGTACACTGACGGCTCCGTCACTAGAGACAGCGACATCAGCATTCGTAATTCCGGAATTGCACGAAGAATATGCATGTCGGTTGGGCCAGCTCTCTTCTTCAACAACGTCGGAGCTCGTAGCGATTTTGCTAGCCATAAGCTTTATTAAACTGTCAACGACACGAAGAAAATGGGTGGTAATTACAGACTCTCTGGCAGCACTGGCATGTGTGGAAAGTGCCACTTCAAGACACATTGATGTGCGTATAGTATACGCTATACTAAAAGAGCTCTCAGAAGCTACGAAGTCGAATCATCGAGTGGCATTTCAGTAGGTCCCCAGTCACTGCGGAATGAAGGGAAATGATATGGCGGATGAGTTGGCAAAAACCCCTCATAATTCTACGCAAACGTGCCTCATTCTGGTATCTCAATATGGTGTAAATAGAATTTTAAGAACAACAAAACGTGAATTATGCCTGTCTACCTGGTTCACAGACAAAACAAAGGAATCGATCCTATATTCTGTTGATCCTAATCTTGAATACCAATTAGAATGTGACCTCCCAAGACGTATCGACACACTCATTCATCGCCTACAACTCGGAACTGCTTACACAAAGCACTTCCTACTTCGTATTCATCGTGCAACATCGACAGCATGTTCATGCGGCCACGACGACAAGGATATCTGTCACCTCTTGCTCGACTGTCCGAAACACGACACACACCGAAGGCGACTAGAACAAGAGCTGCATAGGTTAGATCCTGAGCGACCATTCGGGTTGAATAAAATACTAGGTCCATGGCCGTCCAAAACAAACGGCAAAGCAGTGAAGGTGCTGCAACAGTCCTTCGAAGAAACGAAGATTTGTGACGAATACTGAACAGACAAAAGTTGAAAGTGAGCGTGTTGTCTACATGTTTGTTCTGCCCATATAGAACTTTTGCTCTCACCCATGCAGGACTGTATATATGTATACATGCAATTGGTTTTTTTTTTCATATTTTTATTTGTACCAATTAAGTGGAAAAGGGTAGCCGTTGCAAGTAACGGTGACAAAAACTCCTTCGTTTATTTTCTATTTTAATAAAAAAAAAAGGGGGAAGGGAGGTCGTTGAAGCCTCCCCCTATAAAAAGGGCAGCAGGGGACACATGTGTAAGCGCTCCATTGATAGCGCTCCATGGACAGCTTAAAAGAAGTAGAGATAACCAGGGAGGCTAGAGTGCGCTAATAGATAGGGCATCTCATCGCATGCAAGTACTCACTGTATGCATCTGATGCTCATATCCATATTAAACAGTTGATAGTTTGTGCTGATGTTTTTTACATGTATTTCTTCACTGGGCACCATTCTTCTTTGTAGTTTGCATTTGAAAGTTGAACATCTTAATCAGAGCTGAATCGCTGCTAAGGGAATATCAGATCACTCACACTTGAATATAGTGAACTATTGGAGTCACCATGTTTAGTTTGTTGAACAGCCTAAAGCTTTGCCCCGCCGTGGTGGTCTAGTGGCTTAGGTACTCAACTGCTGGCCCGCAGGTTGCGGGATCGAATCTAGGCTGTGGTGGCTGCATTTTCGATGGAGACGAGAATGCTGTAAGCCCGTGTGCTCAGATTAAGGTGCACGTTAAAGAACCCCAGGTGGTCAAAATTTTCGGAGCCCTCCACTATGGCGTCTTTCATAATCATATGGTGGTTTTGGGTCGTTAAACCTCACATTTCAATCAATCAGCTTGAAGTGCTGAGTTGTCTTTCGGTGAATGTTGTTTTGAAATAGGGCACATGTAGTACAATAGGAATATTCTCCCAACTTCAGCAAACTTCTCTCTGCACTATCTAATATTGTTTAACCCTTTGAGTGTCAAATTTTTTGGAAAAAAGCTTTTACAAGGGTTTAGATTATATATTTAATGTACACAATGTTTAAAGTCAGGCAAAAAAATTACTTTAAGTATGAGGAACAGCTTTTGGTGTCAGAATTACTCACAACTTCCAAACGTTCAAGGCGTGGCATTTCTAAAAGCATGAGCCTACTCACAGTGCCTTATCACTGCCTGTACACATAACACACTTGTTCATTCTCTTGTTGGTGTGTGCTAGCAAACACACGACATCCTTTCAGCATGTGGCTTGCTTGGACAGAGTAAGCTTGGTAATCAAGGAAAATGAAGATAGCTCACAAGTGTCGGTGATAAACAAGTGAAGAGCATCAATAAAGATGGAAATCACCTTCCACCGTCTCTGCAAGGGAGCGCCAATAAAGATAAATATCGAGTTTTGCACGCCTTTATTCAGAGCACGCGGCGAAACCGAAAGCATGAAAGGGCTTTGCCTTAGACCGCGCGCCATGCTGACTCTAATAATCTTCAGCGCCCCCTCGGTGCCTCACTCAACGTCGACAACCCTGGATATAAATACGGCCCCCCAAGCGACGGTGATTAATGGGCACGGCGGCACCCGAAGCATGCAGAGCGCTAATCCCTTCTTGTATGTCGTACAGGTGAGAAAACGCTACGGCGAATGCATGCGTTCTGACTGCCTCTTCTTTATTGTGCTGCCGTGCCCAAGGTTGCTTTGTGATCCCTTGTGTAACTTGTCCTGCTATTTGAGGGACCTGTTATTACTAGCAGGTGACGTCGAGACAAACCCCGGGCCCGACTTAAAACAAATTTCTCAACAACTAACGCAAATTGCTGGTGATATTAAAGAAATTAAAGAAGAACGACTAACCGCTATTGAGTCCAAATTAGAAAAACTGGCTGCCTTAGATGAAAAAATACTGGACTGCACCACAAAAGTTTCCGCCTTAGAAAAAGTAGTATCAGGCCTAGAATTAAAGCTGGATGAATTAGAAAACCGGTCAAGAAGAAGTACCTTGATAGTGTATGGCATCCCTGAGGATGAAAAAGAAGACGAGGAATCACTAGAGCAAGTAATAAACAATACAGTTGCGAAAGGTGTTCTGAAAATTGAACCTGTTTCAATCGAAAGGATACATCGGCTCGGTAAACCAAGCGCGAACAAAACTAGACCAATAATTTTCAAACTCCTTGATGATCGAGACAAAACAAAGATTTTGAAAAACTGTCATAAACTAAAGGATACCGACATATCAATTAGTGAAGACTTTTCCCAGCGTGTGCGTAATATAAGGAAAAAATTGTGGGACTCAGCGAAACCAAATAAGAAATCCGGGCAAAAGGTACATCTTGTCTACGACAAAATTAGTATAGACCGTATTCTTTATCGCTGGGATGACACCGTAAACGATAAAGTGATGATTGGCGAGGCAAAAAATCCCTCAACTGGAAAAAAAAACCTGCCAAGCAACGGGCTGGCGTCTCGCACTCGAAACCGCCCCAGTTGAGGTTTATAAATGTGAATTGCCGAAGTGTCTTAAACAAATTAGAATCTCTTGAATGCCTACTTCTCGACCTTGAGCCAGACTTTGTTGCTCTAACCGAAACCTGGTTAAATAATGACATTTTAGATAGTGAAGTAACGCCCCCAAATTACAATATAATACGGAAGGACAGACCGACACGAGGCGGTGGAGTAGCGTTAATGATAAAACGCGAAATACAATACACTGTGCTGCCAGAGGTTGAAGGTGTAGAAGCTGTCTTTTTGAAACTAAAATTTGGCCTTCACACAACAATTGTGGGCTGCTGCTATCGCAGTCCTACTTCTGGCGAAGATAGCATGCAATCGCTCTACAACTACATTGAACAAAACATACAAAGCGCAAAATTCATCTTGTTGGGTGATTTTAACCTTCCTGATATCGACTGGCAATCCATGAAATTTCATTCCGCATGCTCAGATGTCCTTATCGACACAATGCTGCGATTTAATCTTCACCATGTAGTCAACCAACCAACACGTGTCCAGGGAGAAACTTCAAATATTCTTGACCTTATATTCTTGAGTAACCACTTCCCAGCCGATGAAACAAAGATTGAAGTTATGGATGGCATATCTGATCACAAGCTCACTTTGTGCACTGTCCCCTTTCGTGATAAAATAGAACCAACGAACATAAAAATTACTTACCCGGATTTTAAATATGCCGACGACACCAGCATACTAAATTATCTAATTATAAAGTTTCCGTCCTTCGAAGAATTGTCGAATGATAGTTCCACGAACATTGAAATATTATGGTCTCAGTTAAAAGAAATTATGCACCACTGTATTAATACCTTTGTACCTCTTAGAGTGAAAAAAATTAAGAAACACAACCCGTGGATAGCACATGAGGTAATACATGCGAAACGCAAAGTAAAGCGAATACGAAAGAGAATGAAACGAAAACCCGGAGCAGTAACAGTAAATAATTTGACTGCTGCTGTGAGTGACCTAAAAACAAAAATCAAAACAGCGAAGAGCGACTATTTCACTAAAACGTTGCCAAACTTTCTAAAAAATTCACCCAGCAAGTTTTGGAGCTACCTAAAGCCTGCAAAAAACAACAAAAGCAACACACCCCCGGAAAAAGATAACTCGATCACTGCAGACAAAATGAACAACTATTTCAAGTCTGTATTCACTGTCGATGACGGAAACATTCCAGACATCGACACTAGTGCAGAAGGCACCCTGGAATCGATTATTGTCAATGAGGCCGGTGTCATAAATCTCTTGTTAAACTTGGACACAAAAAAAGGAGCAGGGCCTGACAACATTCCTAACATCTTTCTTGTAAGATATGCTGAGGTGCTAGCTAAATATCTGTGCGTCATGTTTAACAAATCATTATCAACGTGCTCTTTACCTGTGGAGTGGAAAAAGGCCAAAGTTGTTCCTGTGCATAAAGGAGGATGCGGAAATGATATATCTAACTTTAGACCTATATCCCTGACATGTACAATCTGTAAAATCTTGGAGCACATAATTCTTAAACAAATAACTGTTTTCCTAGAAGAAAAACGTATATTATCTCCCTATCAGCATGGCTTTCGCCGAGGTCTTTCAACCATAACTCAATTAGTGGAATTAACACATGAGGTATCCCAGAGTATTGACAACCAAAAACAAACTGATCTAATCTTCCTCGATTTTGCCAAAGCATTCGACAAGGTATCACACAAGAAACTACTTCAAAAACTTGAGGCCACCTTAGGAAATTCTACTGTTCTTAACTGGATCAAAAATTATCTTACTGATCGTACACAGTATGTGGAATTTAACGATGAAACCTCTGCTACTACCTCCGTCACATCTGGAGTTCCGCAGGGCTGTGTGCTGGCGCCAATTTTGTTTCTTCTCTTTATTAATGATTTGCCTACAAATATTAAGGAAAAAATCAAATTATTCGCGGATGACTGCGTGCTATATCGAGAAATAAACTCAACGGAGGACCATGTAGCTTTAAATAGTGCTTTACAAGATGTTTCCTGCTGGTGCCGTAAATGGCAGATGTCACTTAATGCAAACAAGTGTACAATTCTATCAGTAAGTCGAAAAAAAGCTAGGTCAAATTTTCTTTACACCATTAATGACATTCCCATAACTAGAGTAAGTCAGCATAAATATCTTGGAATTATTATAACTGAAGATCTAAGATGGGATGCACACATAAGTTACGTTACTTCAGCTGCACTACGCCGCTTGTTTACACTCAGATACCGGCTTCGCCAGGCCCCGCCTTCTCTAAAACTGCTTGCATACACTTCCCTTGTGCGATCATTACTTGAATACGGTAATATTATTTGGTCACCATTCACAAAACAGCAAATCACGAAACTGGAAGGAATACAAAGGAAAGCTATGAGGTTCATTTACAACAAGTACAGACATACAGATTTTCCGACTAAACTAATGAAAAAAGCTGGATTACTTACTCTAATGAATAGAACAAGGTTAGCACGTGCAAAATTCATACATGAATTAATACATGGTCATTTAAACATTGATGTATCCGCCTATCTTACGTTTGATCAAACTAGAACAACACGCCAAAAACACCCAATGAGACTTAACGAATACTCTTTCAACACAAACTGCTTTAAGTACTCATTCTTTCCGTTAGCCACTAATGAATGGAATAAACTGGATCCGAGTATCCCCAGCACTACCGAATTAGCAAAATTTCTAACCCTTGTCGAAAATGAACTTTGTATTATGCAAACGGAATCACCTGGTTGATTTTAATATGTGTGTTCGTGTGAACATTGTACGAGCGAAGTATCATGTCATCATATTTTTTCTTTAAGCAATTTTTAGTACTGAATCCAGGTGAAGAGAAATCGCTCTGTTGATTCTTGAACATGTTTCTGTTTTTCAGTGTGTATAAATTTGCCCTTCCTTGAAATACTTTGCCATATTGTAGGGTAGTTTCTTATTGCTGTAATTTCTTGTTGTGTTTCTTGATGCATATGCCAATATGTCAACCAATGTGTCAACCAAGTCGCTGCATTTATTTTCTTCTGACAACTTTTCTTTACACTAATGTTTTATGCCTTCTTTGATCTGAAATTGTTAAATGATTCGATTCTGTTAGTTTCATTCTGTACTTTATCGCGATGTATGTCTTTATTGTGTACCTATTCGAATTTTTATGTTCACGCCCTTCCTGCTAAAATTCCTGATGGGATTGGCAGTATGTCGAAATAAATAAATAAATAAATAAATAAATAATAAGTTCTGTCTATCTCCGCAAGCAGGTAGCACAATCACTTTCAATGCTTCTCGTAAGTTCTAGGAGGAGGCAGCACCTCCCAGTGAGCATGTATCATCATTACAGCATGAAATTTCAAGCGGAGGGTTTAAAATATATCTGTACAGCAACGACACTGTGAGACAGAAAACTGCCGCTGCATGTGTATGGCAAAAACACTGATAAGGTTCAAATGAGCCACATGAGAGAAAAGCAGAGAATCCCAGAAGCTCAGTTTCTTGACCTGAATAAGAGTTGAATAGTAGAAACTATTTAAGGTATTCAAGTTGCCTCTGATTGTAAGCCCTCCTGCACTCTGCTAGTGTCATGTGAAACAAAAGCCTTGCAAGTGCTATGCAGTTGTAAGACCTGTTTCTAGTTGCCATTATTTGGAACTTGTCTCGTGACTGTCTTTCAGTTCCATCACGCGCTCCTACTACCGCAACTCAGTGGGTGCCCTTCTTCTATATGACATAACCAGACGGTCCACCTTTGAGCACCTGGTCGACTGGCTGTTTGAAGTCAAGCGACACATTGAGCCACAGAAGGTCATCTACCAGGTCAGTCTTCTCACGCATCGCTTGTCACTTATTTATTCATGCTTTAATTTGCCATCTACTAAACAAGGAAAGTTGTATGATTTACAGGAAGTGTATCATTATAAAAAGGAAGAAAGCCACATGAAACTAGCCATAAGTGGTTTCCAAATTGCTGATTAGAGCACTACTCTGGTCCTAGTATATTCTGCCTAGGACCAAAGGACAAGGAGGAGGTATGCTCTGTGTAACTGCCCCACAGTCACAAAAGGAAATGCAAGTTTTTGAGAGGAAGTTATAATTAAGTGTACTGAAAAAAGCACTCTTATGACAAGGGGACGTAATCATACGTAATACAAGATTATACGCATTAGCTAAAGAAACAGAGGCTATTGATTCAGGAAGATGTAAGTTAATTATAATTAAATGCAATGCACCACTTGACCTTATGCCACTCAGCCTTGCGTACACTAACAGGAAGGCTAGAAACGGCATAGAGCTCCTTGTGAGAAGGCCTCTCGCATTGTTTTGTCTTAAAATTATTAACGGCCCATGCAATATATAGCTGTCTTGCATTAGCCCTTCTGTAAAGTTGTGCAGGACAATGAAAAATGTAAGCAGTGGGATTAGATTCAATTGAAGCCCTGTGGTAAATATGCTGCTGACCATATGGTACTTTTAATAATCTCAACGCTGCCATTATGGTCCTATCCAAGCATTGTAGCCAACTGCTGTTATGAAGTAAGAATTCGGAGTACATGCTGCTGCAAATGCTTAGTAAATTAGTGATGGCGCTACAGTGAAAACTGGTTGCTGTAACCATCATGACATAACTCTAAGAATGTTAGATGCTTCAACTGTTTACACTGTACTTTGCATTGAAAATATCATACTAGCCATAGGAAAGGGTGCTTTTGGTGCTTCAGACTTCTCCCCCCAACCTATCAAAATGTTTTCATGCTGCAATGCATCACTTACCAAAACAACCACCTACACTGGAAATTACCTGATAATTTGGTCAAAATGTTCCCTGCTCCTAAATGCTCAAACAGACATTTTGATGTTTATCTGTTTTGCTGCTTCTCCCTTGTGACATGCATTACTTCTACTTTCTTAATCTTTTGAGCGTTGAATTTTTTTAGAAAACCTTTTACGTACGGTCAAATTACGTTACTGTGGTTTTTGAATGTATGAAGTTTGTTAAGTCAAGAAAAATTCTTAGAAAACTGAGGAACATTTTACACTATTCAGAACTTCAAAATGTTCTCTAGTATTTCAGATTATGGTATTCCTTGAAACATGGGCTAGCACAACTGTACCTTATCACTATTTGCACACTTAACACACGTTTTCGTTTTCTTTGTGGAGTGACAAGTTGCGCTCGCAAACACAGCATCTTCTGTGCATAATCAAGGAGAACAAGAATACCTTGTGAGTTTCAGTGATAAACAAGCTAAAAGCAGTGCCAATAAAGATGCAAATCGAATTCCACCACTCCTGGAAACGAGTGTAGAAAAATTGGGGAACCTTTAAGCTTTGCTTTTAATAGTGGAACACAATAGCGATATCCTGTCCCCATTGCGTACTTGAAACACTTAGTGCATACTTTTTATTGCACGATGTTACTCGAGAAGTTTCAGTTGTGGATTGCTACAATATAATCGACAAGGATGCAAGCAGCTTGTGCTAGTAAAGCTTGCGCATATGGCTGCATCCTGTGTAATGGGTAGCATGCTTCAAACCACAAGCAATTATGCACAGGAAATCTTTTTGAACTAGCTATGCACTCATTATGTGGTATTAAGGAATACGCGCCATAACGTGTGCACATTTTGTAATGGGTGGCCGGCTTTAATCCACTAAGTCGTTAGGATAATCACATGTTCTGACACTCCATGGCAATGTACACTTGTACCACGTGATATTAATCTAATATTACAACTTGTATTGTGAAGCCTCTGTATAGGACGTGTGTTTGTAAAGCATGAAAGTTATTTTCACTGTCTTTCCAAGCAGAAGTTATTTTCACGGCATTTTAAAGCATACGCATGGCTATGCAGTATAAAAGTTGCTTGCCATGAAAATGACCTGGTTTCGATCCTCACTCAGACCCAAAAATGTTTATTATTTACTTTATTTGCATTTTTTTTATTTTTCAGTTATGGACAAAATCATAATTTTTCACTCACAATCAACGACTCGGACACAGAAATTTCTGCGGAACAAGCTCTTTAACAGTATTGCATTAATAAAGATAAAAATCAAGGGTCACATGACTCTATTGCAATCATGCAGCAAACCAAAATGACAAAAGAGCGTTAGTTGCAGTGTTGTGGAATGGACGCATTCATTCCATTTCAATTCTATTCCAGAGAATTGCAACATGCCGCCATTCTGTTTTTTTCAATTCCTCAAAATGAAAAAGCTTAGCCCATTCCCACTCCAGCAGTAGCCGGGCAGGCTAATTCCATTTCTGCGATTCCTCAACATAGGAAAGGCATTTTTATAGCTTTATCGAGATAAGAATGAGCACTCCATCAAGCTGATGTCACCAGACGGATTAAAAACTGCAAAATTACTCAAAACACGTTACCACGATCAAGGGAAGCTTGGTGCCTTATCTTGGGCAGTACACTACCACACTACTAGTTTGCCTAGGTGCAGTTCTCCCGCTACCTATAGTATTGCATGGTCAGAACAATGTTAGGAAAAAAAGTTAGCAAACATTTGGCATCGCATGTATTTACTTGTTTCGAGCATATTTTACTACCTTCACAGCATCTCTTTACTACAGCCAGCAGCTAGTGAAGCTTGAAACTTTGCCGTTGCTAACCAAGAACGCAAGAACTACTAAGTCACATTACGTTGCCAGATTTCTCGTAAACACCACCATATATCTTGCAGCAATCGTGACACTCTATAGAAAAATTCCATCATCATCAGCATAACTACGCCCACTGCAGGACAAAGGCCTCTCCCATGGTCTGCCAGTTTTCTCGGTCCTGTGCTTGCTGCTGTCAATTTATACCCACACACTTTTTAATCTCATCTGCCCACCTAACTTTCTGTCTTCTTCTCACCTGCTTGCCTTCTCTGGGAATCCAGTCATTTATCCTTAATGACCAGCGGTTATCCTGTCTACGCGCGACATGCCCGGCCCATGTCCATTCCCTCTTCTTTATTTCAACTATGATATCCTTAACCCCCGTTTGTCCTCTAATCCACTCTGCTCTTTTCTTGTCTCTTAAGGTTACGCTTATCTTTTTTTTTCATCGCTCGCCGCATCAACCTCAATTTAAGTCGAACTCTCCTTGTAAGCCTCCAGGTTTCTGCTCCATAGGTAAGTACCGGCAAGATGCAGCAATTACATACCTTTTTCTTAAGTTATAGTGACAATCTACTAGTCATGATTTCAATGTGCTTGGCGAATGTGTTCCGCCCCATTTTTATTCTTCTAGTTACATCAATCCTGTGGTTCGGCTCCCCGGCTACTACTGGTTTTGAGTAGACCTTCTCTTTTACAAGTTCAAGTGCACTGCTACCTATCTCGGAGCGCTGTTCTCTTCCGAGATTGTTGTTTATTGCCTTCGTTTGCTGCAGATTAATTTTAAGACCTACATTGATGTTATCCTTGTCTAATTCAGTAATCATGAATTGCAATTCCTGTTCCCTGAGTTACTGAGCAGTACAATATTATCGATGAAGCGCAGGTTACAGAGGTAATCTCCATTACTCGTATCCCTAACCAACCTTAATTTTGTCAACTACCTTGGAATAAAATTTCGTGCTGAGTGATGGCACACATTTACGCAAGTAGAAGGGTAAACAATGATCTATACAAAAACGTCCATTTTTTTTTAATTTCTATGACTGCTAACCAGTACACAGTATGCTATACCAATGTAGGAGGATAAATTGCCTTGAAACGGCTGCTACAGTGGATACTGGCTACGTCTGTGATTCGTTCATGCCTATATGTATGTTGTTGTGATGCGTACTTGACATGGTAATTACATGTAGTAGTCAGTGGCCGCTAATTAATCTACGTGGATAGTGGCACTTCGTTTATTATCCTATATATAATTTTGTAATAGAATCATCTTGATAAGGCAATGTACTATTAGTGTCAATTGAAACCCGAGCGGCGGCAAGGCTTCGCGATTGTATAGTGCACGCTGTCCACTTATCACTACGAACAGGCACGCATATATGCGCAAAGCTGCTGAACAGAATGCGCGTGCCTAACAATGGTGATAACTGGATAGCATGCACTACACTATCGCAAAGCTTGCTGCTGTTCGGGTTTCATTTGACGCTGATAGTGCATGCACATATAAATGCGCGTTAACTAACGATTCAGTAATGCATAATTCGTGTCAGTACTATTCACGAACTACTTGGTAAACGAGCAAGTTTTACTAACTGAAATTTTATTACCTTCACTTACTCAGGTTACTGCTTTTTCGGATAAGGAAACATTCAGTATTTAGTTCAGTAAATATGCAGACCTCTTTTTTTTTTGTAAGAGTACATGTTTGAACGAATGGGGACGTTTTAATATTGTTCAAGCGTAAACGCCATAATGCTAAAATGACCATTCAGCAAATCATCGCGTAAGGATTCTGGGAGGCGCCACGTTGGCAATGTGGGATGACCAGCTTTGACTAGCAACCCGAACCGATGCTTTCAAAAGTCTATTATATCTCTCTCTCTATGGTTCATCTTGTACAACACTTTGTCGCACGCACAGCACCACAGGACAGAGTTCATCATGTACAAATGTGTGCTGCGCTGACCTACAGATCTTTGCGAGAGAGTTCCGGGCTAAGGTGCCCATATGTGTAGGCAGGGGGGACATTATTCCAAAAAAGGGGGGTGGGGGGGTGGAGGGGTCATTTGGGATGAGACGGTGCGCAAGCTGGTATACGAAATTTTACAGTAAACACAATCATTGTACCAACGTCAATATGCATCAAAGCTTGATGAAGCGTTTTTTCGAATATACTCCGAGTCGCCGACAGTGG